TGTAGACAAATATTGTACTTAATGGCTGAGACTTTCAGATAAAAAGGAAAATATAGACAATGTACTTTTCCCTTTGTGATAAAAGGGAACATAGAGACTGAAAGATAGTCAAATAGTCCTGACGATCTTAGCGCTAGGATGTCCTAGGTTCTTAACTTCTAATACTGTTTTAGGATGACTTGGGGCTAAGATCGTTTCGAGGAATACGGGTCCAGGTCCCTGATTTTTGTCACCAAATTGAATCTCAAGAAAATCTTTCACGACAAGATTATCATTTTGCCAACAGGATTTATGATATCAAATCAGTTTGCTATTTGCTGCCGAGGGTTTTATCGTCTGCAAGTCAGAGCAACATCTTCCCTGACAACGACCATTCACCATTCGAGTGCCAACACCATTAGGGACAGTGGGAGGTTTAGGACAGACAAGATACTGTTTACAAAGGCTAGATAATCATGCAATATAATGTTTAATCTATTCTAGCACCAAAGAAAACCAGTGTTTCACTTGTTTTGCTCGTGCGTGTTAAGTCCCATTTTTACAAATATAATCGCCATTTCTAAAGGAGATGGCCTGATGAGGATTGTTTACCTTATGCATGTATGCCAGAGAGATGATTTAAGTCACATTTATAGGCAAAATGAGATGAGCTTTAGTCAATTGATTGGTAGTTAATATTACCATAATTAAATCATTAAAGCAACATTTATCAATTTTATTGATGCACTATTTTACACAAATACATCATTAAATAGTGATTACCAATAGAAACTTCCTCATTGACAGAGTTAAACTAGGTCAAACACTATTTCATAACAGCATTAAGTGCAATCAATCAGAACAGGTTGTTTTTATTTATAATAAATATGCATCATAAATAATGTGAGGTGATTAAAAACAATATATTTATAGTATACACTTTAAATGTACTACATACTGCCAAATCTTTGTTACTGCAGTCTTTTTATATAGTAGGTGTACTGTAAAATCATCACTACTGCAGTCTTACAGGATGAGGTTGAGCAAATCTAGATCTATCTGACACGCAAAACAATAAACTTATCTTGACAACTGCATGATGAATAAAACTTTTGGACTCATTTCATAAATACTGATAAATCCTAACTTCTTACAAAAACTGGACACAAATGTTCATTGCTAAAATCTTCCATCTTCATTAGCCCAATTAAGTGTAGAAAAGTATGACGTAAAGTTTTATTTCATTTTAAAGCTAATCAATCTTTTCGATTGTATGAATTCCGACTAACCATATAGTAACCTGATAGTAAAATGAAAGCTTCTTGTATCACACTGTGTGTGAAGACACATTAGCCTGATCAGATACTTCCTGATACTAGCACATAATTTCATATGATAAACATCTTGCATTTGAAAAAAAAAGTAAGAACTGGGAAACAATATTTTCTATTCAACATATCAATTTGCTGATGCATGAACAAAAATAGTATCATGGTGGGAAAATATAAAACAACAATGTAGGCCATTATTACATATAATAATACATCAACTATGTCTATAATGGCTGAATGTGTCACTGAATTCGCTTGTATTCATAAACAAAATTAGCAGAAACAGTTGAACAGACGTGCAAGTGGACCCAGAAGTGTAAACTCAGATTGCACTCTCATTACAAGCTGTAATATCAGTCAAAGAAGGTATTTGGTCTATATTTTATAAGCTAATAGGAGCTAAATAACAGCTGACTTAAGATACAAAGAGATGAGGTACAGTGTATGATGCAGGATTATGGATACAGTAGAAAATAGAAGAAATGAATCGTGTCTGGACCCGTACCGTGTGTGTTCACTTCTTTTATTTTTGTTTGTATCGATCAATCTGCATCGTACACAGCACGGGTAACCCTACCCCGTCTATTCGTCGCCTAATGAGGGAGACTGAAGAAAAAATAGTTTGTGCTCATACACAAAATACAGCAGAAAATTGGCAGAAACAGATGAATAGAAGGCATTACACTTCTGAATCAGAAAGGCTTCAGTAACAGACTTGCACAGGCAGACAGCACTCAATTAGAGATTGGTTGACTTCTGTGCAAGACTGAAGAAAAAATTGTTTGTATTCATACACAAAATCTAGTAAAAACAGTTGAACAGACGTCAATACACTTGAACTGTGAAATGGAAAAGCTGCAGTGACAGGCAAGTAGACCCTAACGTGTGCACACAGACGGCACACTCATTAAAAACTGTAGAAATCAGTCCTGCAAGGTATTAAATTCATTTAGTTTATATTTCATAAATACAGCAAGCAGGTTGAGGGTAATGTTCATAGCACATGGCCAGATAAATAATCAAATCAACATCTGCCAATATATCTGTCAAGAACTTTTCACATATTGGTGTCAGATCACATTCTAATAGAAATATTTTGAAAAGGCCCTTATCACCCTTACAATATCAAGGGATCAACACAATAAAGGCCTTGTCAATCTCATATACTCAGGGGATAAAAAACATGTGCAAGGCTTATCGACTTTTCTCACCTGGTCTTAAATTAGTTAATTTGTACATGACGTCTTCATTGGCACAATCAGATGCAGAAAAGTAGGTTGAAAACCCATTTCATTTGATATGAGTTTGGGAAATGCAGAGATTTTGTGCACAGAGCATGACTGCCTGAGGGAGATCTTTTTCCACATTTAATGCAACTTTTTTCATTCTTCTGAGCTTTATAGAAAAAATCCCCAACTCTCTCCTTGGCCTATACTTAATTAATTTTAATCATATTATATTGTCTTTACAACCCATCTGTCCAAGTATTACATAAAGAAGTCATATTATCATTAAAACATTAAACTTGATGTTATGCAATACAGCCAAGCATTTTCCTCTACCTGTGCTTTCGTAATTTCAGTAAAACCTATGATGAAGGATGAAATAGAGGAGTTGTATCTTTCAAACCATTGTATTTTTCTATATCTGTCCTAAAGCAATACCTCAGTACTTTATATTGTGCAATACAGTCAAACATTTTCCTCCACCTGTGCTTTCTTTACTTCAAAGAAGCTAATCATTTTCTAAATCACTCTGAAGGAAGTTGAATCATTAAACCATTGTTTTTTTTGAATAACTATGGCTGTGCTAAAGCAATATGTCAGTACTTAATATTGTGCAATACAGTCACACATCAAAAAAGGATGTTTAAGCATTAAAACCATTGTTTTTACAATAACTATGGCTGTCCTAAAGCAATATGTCAGAAATTGATGTTCTGTTATACAGCCAGACCTTTAAATTCACCTAGATTTAAATTCAATAAATTGATGATAAACAGCTGTGAGTAGGACCATAGTTTACAGTTCTCTATACTTTATAAACATCTTAAACAAACCAGACTTACATGACTGATATATGTCTATCAAATCCAGCAGAAAAATCCACCATGCCATAGCAAATCCAAAGAACTAACAATAGCTAACAAAATAAAAGCTGTGTTCTCAAAAATAACTTTAGAAATCCATGGATGTCCTTTAAAAATATAAGTATCTTGTTTTATGATATATGTCTGCCAATACCATCCAAATCTTACAAAAAGGAATCTCCATTTAAATGCATTTGACTATGAAAAGACAAAATAAACTGAAAACCGCTACAAATACTAGCCTATAATTGATTAACCCTCAACAAACAATAATTTATCATCCATAAATACTAACAAATATTGTTTTATCAATTGATATTTGCCTTCTGAATGGCTGATGAACAAAGGGAGGATATTGATACAGTAACTGAATCTTTTGTGATTAATTCCATTAATAAAACAGGTAATTAATATTAAGTTTTTTTCTGTAAATTATGGAACACAAACAAAGTGATAATCATGTAGGTCTTAATCAGGAGTAATTTCTCAGAGCACATTTTGCAAAGAGGAGTGCACAGAATTCACAAATGATGTATATCAGCCTATGTAAACATTTCTTACACTCTTAGTGCTAAGATATCCCAGAAACAATACTACAAGTTAAGACCCTAGTACTAAGATTGATTCAAGCAGGAGCCTGAAACAGTGAACTCTCTAAAAATAACTTCCAAATTCATCAGACAATTTAACATGTGATTGGTAACAATAGAGTTAAAAAAAATGACATGTCAATCTAAATGTCAAAATTTAAAAAGATTGAAAATGTAATCATGAGTAAATTTGATTGATTGAATTTTTATGTGTCTATGCATAATGTTGTTCTTTGTGCTAAATATAAATATGTCAAAGTAAAAATATAGCAATTGATATACTTATTGCATAAAAAAGGTTATAATTATCAATATTTTCACTGATGCAATTACACTCAATACATCAGTATATATCAGTAATTCTTTAAAGGAATACTACCTCTTAGAAGGGACATCAAATTTAATCATCCAATAGAATATCTATATAAGTCAAAGATGATATATCCATTAAACTAAGCAATTTAACTAATTGTAAAAAGCTTCTATTCAAAATAACTCAATAGTTTAATGGATTTTTACTAGTTAATTTAAGGAATTATCGATAATAGAGATTCTGTTCTTTAGTTTTGACACCAGGTAAGCCCACTGATGAATAAAGGCTCATTTTGGTCAAGTTCAATTTATATTTGGTCATCCTAATAGGTAGTATACCTTTAAATAAAGATGTTAGTCTTGAAACATTGTAGTATAATGTTGACATTTCTTTCTGATATTGCTGTGTATGATGTCAAATTTGTTGAACAACTATGCCAGGAATAGGACAATGAACTTTCAAGTTACCTAAAGTATTTCAATTCAGTATTAAAGTGTATAATTATATAATGTTTGAACTAGTGAGTGTAACGTGTTTTATGTCTGAAGGCAACAATGCCAAGTGAGGGACTCAACAAGGAATCTAAAATCTCAATGTAATGCCTTGATGTCTTGAAATAGTTGAAAACCATGAAAGTTATTTTGTCCCACATGGGAATCCTGTTGTATGTTATAAACAAAATAATGTAATATAGAATATTATACTCTGTCATTTAATGAAGATGAAATTAAATTCTGAAATAAAATTGAAACTTTGATTTAAAATATACCAACCTCACAGCCATATAATTTCCTTAATTCGTCATAAATCCAATCTTCCACACCAAGTCTTTTTCTTATAAGCATCATTTGATGTTGTCCGTACTTGGCTGTAAGATATTTGGTTTTCTTAACTTTGTCTTCCTCTCTTTTCACATGAAAATCTACATGATTTTTTCCAGAATTACTTCCAATCGATCCTCTAGGATCTGACATGTTTGTTGATCTTTGTTGGTAACTAGTTTCCAAATTATTTGAAGCGTAAGTTGGCTCAGTACTGGTTGGACTAGAGTAGGACGTCGCCATAACTTCGTTAAAGCCGACACTCTTTTTACTTCTAAATAGATTTTTGCTCATAATGCCTCTGTACAGGATTTTACTGTAAACAAAAATTAATACGCTGTTAAAATTATGATCAAATTGATTAAAATGGTGAATAGATAAACTTATCAATTGATAATAAACAAAGATATAATATATTTATACTGATAATAAATTTATTACTTAGTTATACATTGTATTAATTATGGAACTATATTTCACCATTTTACAACATTGTAGCCATACGCATATTGAGGTAATCTCTTTACGCATGCGCTAATTTGGAAGCCATGTTGTTTTTTAGCAATCTGTAAACAAAATTTCTCTCAAAGTGAATCGAATATTTAGTGAAAATGAAAACACTGTTGGTAGCATGTTTGGTATTAACAGTTACAGTTTTTGGAAAGGAATCCGTCAGTGACATTTTTTCCTTACTAGAAGATCCTGATGTCCTGCAAGAAATCGTGAAAAGACTGGGGCACAGTGATCCAGTGAAAGAATCCGATACCGATTCTTCGATTGATGACAGCTGTCAACATAAGAATTTTTCAAACACAATCATCCAAACCAAGGCATCGACAGCTGCAGGTGCAGCATTTTTGGATTCTGTAAATGGCTTGGTATCTAATTATGACTGTATCAAACGATGCTGCGAATTAGACGGATGTGAATTGGCTGTTTATGAAAATAAGGTTCGTATGTTTGCAATGATTTACTTTCAGTTTTATTAGGCTGTTATTATAGGCTGTGGCTATGGTATTAAAAAACATATGGCCATCCCTAATCAACCCTAACAAAGTCACTCAGTAATATTTTTGTCTATAAAAATGGCTCCAGTCTTAAAAAAAAAAATGCCAAAACTAGCGCCGTCTATTATGTCTTATCTTATTCGTACCGTTGTTAACAGCAATAGAGAACATGCATCGTGAAGGTGCAAATAGCCAGTGCGATTATTATGACCTAATTTAATATGGTTAATACCTAATTTACAGTGAGAATGTTCTTATGACTGTTACTTGAACAATGGTTATGTGAATGAGATACTATTACTACTAGGAAATATGATAACCTCTAAATCTCAGCTAATGAATTACAACCAGTACCGGTACTGTGAATTTTATTCAAATAAAACAGCATTATTGTACATATGAACAAGTCAAATTTGAATAGAGTAGGCTAAAATGTTATATGTTATCATATGCTTACCAACAGATTACTTAAGATTAAAAAGAGGTGGAAACCACTAGGGAGGAAACCACTAGGAAGGAACTTGTAAAGGGGGGAAACCACTACATGCCCATATGAATGCTATATAGGCCTATTACAAAACCCTCAGAGGTTTCCATAACTTAATGCACATGGAACATTGAATACAATGTTGAAAATTTATTTGATCTATTCAGTATCTGAGACATCTAAAATTCTAAATTTGCTTATGATATATTTTGAATAAGACCCTTGTAGCTGCTGTGGAGCTCTTGCCATATGTTATGCTCTAAAGTTATTAAAACGGGTCAAACCAATGGTAGTCTAGTTAGTCTAATTAATGGACCTTCTGTTAAAAAACTTACCAGTAGCCTAATTAACCCCTTTAAAAGATAACCTGCTAATTATATACTTACTGTTAAAATCCTATGGTTTTATAGCAATTAACAGTTTCTATAGTTTTCACAAGTTGCTATGATAATCACTTAAAGTTCCTTTTAGAGAGACAATCTATGTATCCCTACTGTACAATAGACCGGTACTGTGTCCAAAAATTTGTATTTTGTTGTTGATTTACAACTGGTGTACATAAGACTGTTGATTTACAATTGGTAGAAAACACTGTTAAGTTACAACTGGTAAACAGGCACTGTGTTCAAAAATGGGTAGAAAACACTGTTAATTTACACTAGTAGACAACACTGTTTGTCTACAAATAAAAGTCAACACTGAGTTAGTGAGTTTACAACTCATAGACAACACTGTTAATTTTCAACTAAAATACAACAAAGTTGATTTACATCTAATATACAATACTGAAAATTTACAACTGATATCAAACAAAACCTAACAGCTTGATAACGGATCCTATTGTTTATTTGTAATCATGAAATAACCTTAAGGCAATGAGTATAATTGACCAATAAATGTTTATTGTTGAATAATATGAATATATCCCTAATAAACTATGCTTGGATGATTGATAATGTTTATTATTAAGGCCGACCTTCCCAGTTCAATCATTGATGATTTTTTATTTCCTTGTTGAATATATAACTCCCACAAATTTCCTGGAAAATTATTTGAAAATAAAACTTAAGATTTTTTTTGTAGGTAGGACATCTAGAGAATAGGGTCTACTATAGATCCTGATTGTATTATTATTTTATGATAATTAATTGTAGTCACACCAATTTTTCCTGGAAAATTAATACATTCAGGATCTACATTTATTCTTTAGAAGTCCTACCTATGAATGAAAGCTTATAGTTATAACTTTTTTGATATTTGCCTAAGTTGAGAAAGGTTTTAAGGTTTGACCCCCTTCTTCAGGCAGTGGAACATACTGAGTACATAGTCGATTCACATCAGATCATTGAAAAAATAATCAAGTCATGTAAATTGAACATTTTGGTCTTTTTTGATACTACTAATTTTCAAACCTTGAATTATGCTATGTTATGCCTTGCTTTCAGAGTTTATGCTAAGTTTTATGAGTGTTTAATTTGGTTTTTAAGAACCTTAAGCCTGATTCCCCTTTTATTAAAGATTATAAAAATCCTAGAAAATGGGAGCTTTTAAGTTTTATGTACCAGGTAGTAACGAACCATGTTGTTCAGGTCACTTCACATATCTTACTCAAGTATGAATGGGCTTACATATGACAGACATTTCAATATTCTCTTAGTGATTGTTTATAAAGGCCCTTACGCCTGATTTCCCTTAAAGTTTAGATAAATCCCTTAAGATCTTATATATTGCCCCCTCTAACTTCACTTGAGCAACTTAATGGTTTTTATGACCAGGGATTGCGTATCTACGACTGTTCCTAGTCTTTTCAGTAGTTTAATTACGTAGAAATACTAAGATATGAAATAATATCCCTAAACTAGGAAAGAGATTATAAATTCAACCTTCATTTAATTTGAATAGATTTTTTATTAAAAAAAAAACCTGTAGGCTTATAAATGCAGTCATATGACCCTAAAATTCTTGCGTAAATTGTAAGAATAGTGACTATATATATTCACATATATCTATGGCCTGGATCACTGATTTTGTTTGTTAAATTTCTAACTTCTTTAGGCCTCTCATTAAAGAGACAGATGCGCCATTTTTTTGACCAATCATGCCTTAGTCTCAGAAACAGGAATTTTTTAGCTTAGCCAATCAGTAAGAGTGTTCACATCTCACCGTTGAAATTTGAGCCTTGTAATCCATGTGTGTCCAGAATTATCTGTGTTTGAAAATTAAAATGACGAGTTGTCTTTTCATGAGACACTGCCATATATATATAGAAAATACATCTATAGAAACAGGAAAAGGAATTCCTAGTTTGAGGTATTTTTGAAGGAATTATGAAATTTTCGTACTTTTCTAGTACTTCTGAAGACTATTTTCATATATTCAAGACCCAAATCAACCCCCAAAAATGCCATCTATCCTTTTAATTATCTATGGGAAAAAATCAAATTTGAAAAGAAAATTATGATATCCAAGTTTGAAATGAACTATTTTTGTATTTATTTCAGGGAGACAGAAATTGTTATTTATTCCGATGTAAAGACCCAGATTCTAATAAAAACTATTGTGAATTTGCCAGTCTTGATGGTTATATCTCATCCAGCATCACACATGATGTCAAAGCAGAGAAAATCTTTCAAACATCCAGTAATTCTGACCATGAGAATGATTTACAAGACCTATCAGAGAGTGGTAAATTAGTTAATGATCCTGTTTCTACTACAACTACCACTACTGAGAAACCTGAAGAACCTCACTCAGGTAGGAAAGAATCTAAGAAATAAACACAGGTTCAATTAGGATCCTTTCTAATAGCTGGCTGTATTCTCAATCATTCTTTGCGTTATTATTTCCTAGAAACATTGTTGAAACGTAAGATCATTTTTAGAGAATACATGCTCTGATTCTAAACCCAACCTTCTTGGCATTGATCTTTCCAGATCGTCTGTACTCATTTACAGCTGAGTTGACTGAAATAATGAAGAAAATATTAATCTTTAACATTGAGTAAAAATTTTTATGGATGGTGTACAGAAACCCTGCTCCAATGTAAAGAAATTTGTTTACCTAGGAACATTGAATTGTTTTTTTTTTAATTATCTAAAAGTGTTAAAAAACTAACCTTATTACTAAATTCCTTCTTAACAAACAATTGGTACAAGTTTGCAATCATTGCTTCAAAAATTCTGATACTTACATCCGTAACTCATAGAAATATAGAATATAAAGATGTTGAATAAAAGTTTATACATCACCTTGAGAATTTTTTCAAAAAATATTATATCCTGAAGCCTTGTATATCCTGAAGCCTTGTTCACACCCAAGATGCTTATCTGTATTTATTTATAGTTATATATTTCTGGTGGTTTTAAAACATGGTTTTTAACAGTATCATATAACATTCAAACACAATATTATCTTTTTTATCTATCTGTATCGGTTTCAACTGGTTTCGGTAGAAAAAACTCTTTCAAATCACGAAAGCAATCCACTGATGTGTTTCAATAAAGGTCATTCAATACAAAGTTTTGACTACTTTTGTTCCGCTGTTCTTTAAATTTAATGTTGAATCGATTCAAATCGTTTTGTTTCCTTTTTACGCAGTTTGTCAATTGTGTGTTAATAATTGTACATTAACAAATGGATGATACATACTCAAAATTTGATACTATCACCTTTTATTATTCACTTAAATCATGTTTTAAAAATCCAAAATTAGAAATGATTCACAGTCTATTTGATTTTAGGAATTCAAGATCCTTCTTCGTATTTTGTATAATAATCCACCAGATTGTCTTATAAAACTTCCATGTGGAAAATCCACAAATAATTTCCAATCAGTCAACTGTTATTCAGCTATTCAATCATTCCAAATAATTTTTCAGTGGTCTTTCTTCAACTATACTGGTATCCAAAAGAGTTTTCTATTTTGTTAAACAGCACAGAATTTTCCAATCCTATTAATGCTCTAAAAATGAGAATTTTCCAATCCTATTAATGCTCTAAAAATGAGAATTTTCCAATCCTATTAATGCTCTAGAAAAAAGAAGTTTTGAAATTCTTAAAAAAGAGCACAGTTATTGTGTCTTCAAACATCAAAGCCTGTATGTCAAATGATATGAAATAAGGTCAATTTTAATCATAAAATATAAGTTATATAAATATATGGTAAATACTGATAATGTTTGTTTATCACTTTAAAAGCCTTATTTATCAAAATTTGAGACGTGTATTGGTCGTAAATGATTTCATTGTTTACATTTTAAAGAGACACTGACTGCAATCATACTTCCTAAATTTATTTAGTTTTTCCATCAAATATTGACTAGTGGATCCGAGGCACAAGAAACATACCAAGAACAACGTTGGCTTCATGGTTACCTAATTGTAAGAAATATGACCATTTTAAATATAGTTATCTCGTGGTTTGATTAGGAAACTAGAATTTTAAATTTGGTCTTAATTTGGCAACAATTTAATATATTTTCATTGATTACAATCTTTCAACAGAATAAAATGTGTTACCTAGGTTTATTACATAACGTTTGCTAATCATTCAATGATATATGATATATAGTGACTTTAACTAGTGATATGTGAAATAACAGTCCATGACAATCATTATAAATTCCTCAAAATCAGTAGTTTATCTAACATGTACATTGCATGTTAAAGGTGTTGTAAATTTTTATCAGGGACACTGATAGCATCGATTTGCACAATTCCAATTTTCAATCAGATGTCTGTGGTTCCTGCAATTCCACTAAAACTAAGACTAAGCGTTTAATGACATCACTAAATGATAAGGGCCTTACATGAAAGTGATAACAGCATATTTTGCGGTTAGTGACTTCATTAAACACTTAATTTTTGTGGAATTGCAGGAATTACAGATGTCGGACTGAATGGTGTAAAATCAATACATATAAAAATTTTGAAATATTGTTTACAATCCCTTTAAAGAATCACGTTCTATAACAATCACTATACATTCCTCAAAACCAAGAAATTATCTAACATCTATATTGCATGTTAATACAATATAGGCTTTATAAAATGTAAATAAAGGCTTGGCTACATGTAGGTTTTGAAATCTGATGAGGGATTTTTCTTGAAATTGCATAAACATTTATATTATATTTAATTGGAAGTAAATTTATCTAATGTAAATAAATATGGAAAAAATGGTATGAAGATATTTTTGTGGATAATGTGTACATGACACGTTTTGTAATTCTATCATGGCTTATTAAATAATCACGAAACGATTTCAGATAGGTTAGATGCTAGTAATGATTATGGCATAGAAATTTCAGGAATGTTCAGAACAAGGTATACTCATGTAATGATTTTTATGGTCTTCATGACATGTACGCTTCAATACTTTTTTAATCTTGGATGTTATTCTCGAAAACTTAACTTAAGATGATTTCAGTGTTCTACACATATGATTGATCAATCACTAAAATTGATTTTAATAGATTTTGAAGAATTTTGAATTTTTTTGAGAATAAGTCCCCTGGACATAGATTAAATATAACAACTAATAAAGCAAGTTCTATTCTGTTCATAAAATGCAACAAAATGAACGGAGTTTCCCATTCTGTTTATAACTAAGATTAGTAGATATAACAGAAAACTCAAGGGGTATATTATGGTATAACTTACTTCTTTAATAACAAAACACATAACGTTTCAACACAATTTACACCTGTCGTCATCAGATGAAATCTAAGATTAGTACTTTTAGAAAGTATACAAGTACTGAACACAAGAACTAAGAAAAGTACATGTATATTGACTGGCCTGAGTTTATATTTACAAATTAAATGACCTTGTTAACAGTTAACCAATTAACAACAATCTCCAGAATAAAACCTAGACTTTTTAACTCTATATAAAACTTCCTGTTAGTGTAGGTGGACAAAATATATAATCTAAACAGCATGTGAATTATGGTAACAATAGTCAAGTTAGAGTTAGCTTGTAATATTATTTTACTGCAAGGTTTAAAACATTGAAATTCAATTGAGATATACAACATGGGTAAGATTGGGTCTCATTCTACAAAACTTGACCAAAGATTATTTTAGTGTTCCAGTGTTCTGATTGATTATTTATCAATCACTTCTATCTATTTAATATGTAGTTTTGTTCCGTTGCAAACTCCAATGACACATTCAACCTAATGATAAGTTAGGGTCTCCCCTTCAGGTCTGAATTGCTAAGACGCCCGGCCCTTAAGGGGATTAAGAGAGGCTCCTCTCATTTTTGGCCCCCACCTCGAATCAAATCCTCTTCATGGTAAGAAAAAGTCAGACACCAAGGCCATTGGTTTTCTACCACTAACCTGCAACTTAGTGACACTTGGTGCATAAGAACAGCTAACACCTAAGATGAAAATGCTGATCCAGTGATCCAGGCACCCAGTAGGGGTTTTTAGTTGCCTATCGGGTGTCTTGAGACCACATTAATCGAAGTATTCCAAAGTATAAGAAAAATTAGAATAAGAATTATAAAATTCTTATGCCATGGCCATTGCTTCCAAGAGTTGGCTTAGTGTCGGGTTTTAACCCACTCTAACACCTATCTTTTGTTTATTACAGTAAGTATTGGAGGTGTTTGTCAAACAAATGGTGGTTGTGAAGATTCTCATGCTTTCTGTTTAAATGGTATCTGTACCTGTAGAACTTCTTATTATAATAAACATGGAACTTGTCGTAAGTAACAATTTAAAATACTTTTCTAGTAGAATATCTAAATGTCCTTCACCCATCAATAAAATATATTTTGAATTACATGAACTAAAAAAAAAATTAATTGTATGTATGATTTCACACTTGTTACCCTCGTTAGAAAGAAGTGGGGGTACAATCGGGTGTACAAACCATTTATTGCCCCTTGAACCCCAAATTGCGCTGCCACTGTTTTCATACATCCATTTACTTAGTCTGTTTATAGACTGTTTAAATTCAAGTATTATTTCATTCCATGTTTTACACATTCCACAATTTGAATCACTACCCTTTAAAACATTGATCTGTGGATTTGGGGACCTTGTGCCAGCTTATATATTGTTTTATTGATTTTTAGGGGAAGTGTGTGGACACTCTAGATTTGAATGTAAAGTTGTTGATCTTGATGGACCAGATTGTATTCGGAACTCTCTAGTTTGTGATGGTAGAAATGACTGTCATGATGGTTCGGATGAACGAAACTGTCAAACTGATGGTAGGTTTTCTTTTCATTAAATTAGACTAGAGTTGTCTTTCTTGGAAAATGGTCTGAGACGAGACAAGTAGTGAAATTCTAAGACCATTGTTTTGAGTTTAAATTTTTTTGAGATGGACACAAGAGCAGATAGATAGCTGAGTTTTTTACTGCTCATAAAGTGTGTTTCTCAGTTAAGCTTTGAAATTTGAATATCACCAAAACAATTGCCAAAAAAAATTTTTTTACAATTGCTAAAAGTAACATAATGTGTTTTTAGTGCAAAAAAAATATGAAAAAAATAGTTTAGTAATGTGATGTATTTTTGAAGTTTATATTGTGATAATGACATCTATTTTTGAGCACACACCAGAAACTTTTACTGATTTAGTTTACCATACACTGTACTCTACTTTCTTTTATCTTCTGCCAACCTTTATTAGTTCTTATTTACTCTACCAACTTCTACACTTGAAGTTATTGTAAATTATAATCTACTGGATTATCTCCCCTAATTCTGTAATCTGTCTTCTGACAAGTTGAGAGATTCCATGAGTATTTCACGTGTACATACTACTGTCAACATTACAGGTGTGGCAAATTCTGTATGAACTATGTCAATTCCACGTGTTGTCTTTTCTTGATCGAACAGAAATTTTGAAATTTTAGTGAGTCTACCGTTCTCACTGTCTTTATTCAGAGACACATATTACATTCTGACAATTTGAAGAAATTTAAGCTTGTTTTGAATTATGTGATGACTGTCAGCACATGATCTTTTTAGTTGATTAAAGAACTTCTTACTTTGAATATCTTTAGGTTAGGAATAATGGAAGTGTGATGTACAGTGCTGGATTATTGATACAATTGGAAATAGAAGAGAGAATAACCTAGACATGACCGATTTTCTACAGAATCAATAATCTTGCACTGGACACAGCATCGGACTCTCCACTTTGTCTGCACCTTCAAGCTTGTATTTAATTTGAACATGAGATGTATTTGTCTATTCATGATATTGAATTATTCTGATTTATGAATGTTTTTATACACAAATTTTTCTTGAGAATATTGAAATGTCTTCTTCTTTGGATGAATCTCTTGGATAGCTCCATAATAACTATTATGATTATTTAACATTTGAAATGTAATTATTAAGAAACTTGCAGACTGTTATTTTACTATATCTCAAACCACATAATTAGTCACGTTTCTGTTGATTATTATTCTGATTATTTAACATATTATTTCCATTTTGCAACTTTTTCACTTATTTCTTAAAAGTTTGTAAATTTTGTAGAATATTTTTTCTAGCTGAGATTAGAATGAAATGATTATTTGTAGACTCCTATAGAATATTTTCTATTTCTTTTCCATTCTGTAGCTCCTCTTAATAGATATCCTCACTGGTTTCAAAAACAGTTTGGTTCCCATTTTAATTCTCAATTCCGTCATCAAGATTATGGTACAATGGCGCCAGAGAAGAATATTCCACCAACAGCAGAATCTTCTGTGGATGCTGCAGGAATGGCCAGAGAATTCCACCAACCTCAACCAACAGAATCATCCAAAGACTTAGACACTGCCATTAAAGAGATGAAGAAAACTAACCCAGATTCCAAGACAGAAAGCGCCATTTCAGGAGATACGCTTCAGAAGATCCAATCCAAAGATGAGAATGTTCAAATAGTGCCAGCTACTCCAAAGACCAACCCAGTGGTAGTGTGGCCTGGAAGTTCTTCAAATGAAGATATAGTGATACCTCAAAATAACCAGCAAGAGCCAGAAAAACTCATTCCAACATCTAATTCAAATCAACATCCATATCAAAAGGAAATTCCGATGGATACGTTCATTCCTGATTCTATGATATCATCTCAAGGAAAGAAAGGACCAAGTTATTTCCTTGCTAACAAACCTCAAGTTCCTAAACCTGGTCCAACACAGAAAACTGAAGTTGATATAGTACCGAAACCTAAATTAGCTAAAACACAAAGACCGCACCCTGTTCATGATGCTCATATGATATCAGACCCTGACTCTAATCTTAATGAGCAGTCTAGTGAAAATAGTCAGCCCAGTTTACCATTTCCTGGTAGAAAATATCCCAAAAATCAGCTTCCTCTTAATCAACCTGGATTCGAAAATTATTACCAACCTCCATTCCGACAACAACAATATCCTCCAGACCTCACTCTAGCAGATCCAGATGAAAGACAAGGGGACTTAACTCCATTTAATAGAAATTATTCCCCATACAACAGACCACAACAACAACAATTTCCACCTTTTAATAACCAACTGAACTATCAAAATAGACAGCCGCCCCCCAGAAATCCTTTCACTCCAGAACGTTATGGTAAAAACTTTATGTATGATTATCCAGACTATGAATCCTATCAACCAGACAGTGAGGATAGAAGTAGTCAAGATCACCCAGCGTATATACCAGCTCCAGGTTTATATAATAGATTTAATTCAGTTAGTCAAGGTATTATACCAAATTATTCACTTTTCTTGAAAGATATTTATCAACATTTGAGGAAGAGAACATTTCAATGGGCTTGACAATCCTTTATCTGAAGCCTGTTTTGTTTTTTAAATTGCCTATTGTAATCTAATGATATAGCAAATTCTCGTTCAGCGATCAGATTGTAAATTAAAATTGCTAAACTCATTGAAAGGAGAAATTCAACTGTAACAAGTGAAGTGAGCCCATATATTTTGATTGTTCATTTAATATTCATTAAGAATGTTGATAGATAAATCTCTAAAAAGAAAAGTCAATGATTGTAATAGATAGATGTTGTAACTATAGTGATGTGTTGATTTCACTTTCTTGATGTAAGTATTAATCATTACTTGTTAAAGATATTCACCTGCATGAAATTATTTTACACCAATACCTAGTTAAAATATAAGTTTACTTTTTACCACACTATTCTATTCATGTTGTTTAAAAATTAATTTTCTGTGTAAATTTGTGTCTAAAATTATTTTTAATTTGTAGTAATATTTGTAAATTTATTTTTTTCTATATCATAGTATTTTGTTGTAAATTTGTTTTTTAAGAAGTTCCAGCAAACAATAGTTGGAGTTGAAAGCCGACACTAGGCTGACTTTAAAATAAATATTGTATGACTCGTGTGCCATTCTAAAAAAATGTGTGATTATTTTCACCTCAACGTGTATAATGTTCATTTGTTTTAGTTTTTTTTAGTAATATAGTTGTCTAAATATTATCTTAAGCTGATAGTGCTCAATTTCAGTTATCTGTATGTATAGTTAACTAAGTATTTGCCTAACCAGCTGAATTGAGCACCATAAACCTGTTAAACAAATATTTAAATGATATAACTATTCCTTTATGAACTCTTTTTAGTGTAGTGTATTATGCATAATGTTTTTGTGAATTTCTCCCAATTATTGCATGTTTCATTATTATCATAAATCTGTTTTCTTGTAGATTTTTATTTTTTGGAATCTCATATTTTACATTATTTCATTAGATATTAGATATTGTAAGAGTAATATTACAAATGTGAACTTTTATAATCAGGGACAAATATTTGGCAGCAGTAGAAGTAATTGTTTACTTTCAAAAACTCTGCTTATTCTTTGTGTTGTTGATTTATCAATTAGATATTATTAAATAAATAACTTGTTATATTTCTGTGATGTAATGTTTATTTTAATGATAACTGTATATAAGTATTTTTAATTTAATTTCTATTACAGATGCTGACAAGAATTTAAAACCAGCTGATACTAAAATCCATCCTCATCATACAGGTTAGTTAAAATTTAAATTCATATTCACTTGGGTTGGACATCTTTTTCAGTTTCAGTAAAGCTATTTCTATATCAGTAAGGCACGAATCAGTGTGTTTTCTCAGATGATCTACTTTACTTTGTTATTTTACCTCTAATAATAATAATAATAATAAATTTTTATTTTAAAAGGGTGAAAATGAGATTTTTACAATATTTTGCCCTGATCAAACAACAACAAACAAATTGAAATTGAAAGAATGAAAACAAAACATTTGTCACATATGTTTATAACATTGCAACTTGTGAAGAAAATCATAAAGGTTTCATTTGTAATACCTTGAAATCATTTGATTTTCTGAATATATCCCTTAGTTATCGATTATTGATTACCAGTGTGATTTTGTGTTCAAAACTAAATACAAACTGTGTTAACTCCACCCTAATTTATATCTAGCAGATCTCTTTATTTGTGACCTTGGCCAGTGCTTTACATGAATGTTTTTAGGAACTACTTAACTTTTATTACTAATGTTGATGAAAATTGAGCATGTATTTATCATCACATACAAATAGTATTATTTAAAAAAACATAATCAAATTTACTTTCAGATGTTCATGATAAAAATATCAAGAAGCCATCAACACCAGTGAAAAATGTGAAAGAAATAGATCTGGAAACTCATTCTAAAGGTATATTTTACTTTTCTTAGTTCAGTTCTCTGCTACAGCTTGTCCTGTTATAGAACATGTTCCCTAGTTTAATTTTTGAACAGAGAATATAAGGAACTTTCCATCATTTGATATACAATGTATATTATTGTTTCAGAATCACCTATAGATACACAACAGAATATATCAGAGAAAGACATAGTAGAAACATCAGATGAGGGTACGGAATCTACAGAAGATGAATCAAATCCAGACGAATCAAAATTAGATCAAGACAAATCAAAAACAAATCCAGACGAATCAAAACAATCTACAGATTCTACAGAATCAAAAGAAGATCAAACAAAAGATACTCCAAAAAACACAGACACAGGATCAAATGAAGAATCAAAAGAGGAAACCGATTTGACGAACGAGGAAACAGAATCCCTTTTAGTCAGCAAAGAAAGGTTAACAGTGGATAGTTCATTTCAGACAGCCCAAGGACCAATCATAGCATTATCGCTTGGTTTAGCCTTTACATTCTTATTATTAGTATTTATCGGTTGTCGTTTAAGAAATATGAAGAGACGATTACGAAAAGGAAGAGTGTTACACAGTAATGAGGCAGATTATCTGATCAATGGCATGTATTTATAAAAGATTATGTGTGATAAGGTTGAAATTGAATAGAATTATTAGTTATAATGGCCCTCTTAATACACCACTAATCAAATATTATTACTTATCTTCATTTGACTTTTGAAGAATTTGAGTCCATCTCCTTTTGAATTTTGAAGAATATGAATCTATCATCTTTTAAGTTTGAAAAGAATTCTGACTCTTTATTTTTGAATTTTGAAGAATGTAAATCCTTCTTCATTTTGAATTTTGAAGAATTTGAATCAATCCTCTTTTCATTTTGAAGAATTTGAAGGATGTTTCAATTGATTATTTTAATGAATCTATTCAATTTCAGCCAAAACAAAGGTTGTAAAAAGTTTGTTTCAAGCCAAACCGGTGGGTAATGTTGTGAAAATGTGTTTGGTTTTATTATTCTCTTATAAAATCAAGATAAGGGCATGTGTAATCGTTTCTCATATTCATTGACGACTTATTTTACAATTTCAAATCTTATTTTAGGATCAAAATGTATTCTGAATTATTTGAGTTGGTTTTCTAAAGGTTCTAGAGAATTTGTAACATAAGATGAGACAAAGTTCAGCATGGTGCTTGTTTTATAGATACAGTGGAAATAGAAGAAGCGAATCATGTTCCGTAACTTGTGTGTTTGCTGCTTCCATTTTCTACTTTGTCGACCACCCCACAATGTACACTGTACTAGACTCCATACCTTATTCAAGTGTAACTTAATGTTACTTTCATTTAATTCAATGCCCAGTTATGTTAAATTCATAATTAATAAAGTAAGCATTATTTTGCTTATAGAGACAAATTCAAATAAATTTGAAAATAAATCCACTAAAAGACATGGAAATTGTAAAATAAGTCATATCACAAGCGTACTAAATAATGAAAATTTATATCTTTTTTACATTTTTTACAATTAATAATATTGCTTACTAGATCAGGTATAAATTTAGGCTTTTTTATGATAAATGTTACTGTAGATTACTTCACTTATTGTAAATCCGACACTGTTTCCCATTCACCCAGGTTCTAAATCACTTTGAACCTTATCCAATGATGTCATGATTATCACAATTGGAATGATTTGGAATGATTGGTCCATATATTCATTAAAAATAAACTGATAATTTCATTGGTTGAATTTCTGAACAATCTTTCATAGACTGTGTTGTCAGATTTTCAGATACTTTTGAACAAAACCAAAAGATATACCAAAAATAAATAATGGATCTGAATCAGAATGTATCTAAAGATAACCACGTAAACTTATATTATGTAGCCTTGTTAGATATAGGTGAATTATTTAAGTCAAAAGAGTCATACAAACAATGAATTAAAAGGTTTTACATATTCCACAAATTATAAATGTCAAAAATTTTCTTGAAATCCCCTACTTTTTCTTTTAAAACTTTGATTAACTCATTGTTATCACAACTTGTTGATTCTAATGGCACCATGCAATTTAATGTTATTCCAGCCAAAATGTTACAAAGAGTTACTCCATGATATTCAAACTGTTTGTATCATTTTTTAAAAAGTAGATGTTTTTAAGGAACATTTCTCTTATATTACTTATGACATAGAATTGTCTGTAACACTTTTTAAAAGGTAAATATGGCAGTGGCTTAAACCAATTGTTATTAGCTTATGGTTTCAGCTATCAATATAGATAATTGTTTCTATGTTCTAGATGTTTAATATCAGAATAAGTTCTTCAATTAATTAATGAATTCTAATTCTGTGATTCAGAAAGTTTTTTTTTATATTACACTTAATGAGACATGACTTTTCATTTTCCATTTTCATTCTTTTCTGTTTTTGTTTATTTCTTGTCATTGTGATGTTACATTGGGTTTCCTGTCTTTATGCTAGAAACTTATATTGGTAAATACTGATTAAAAGAAACCCATTTAGATTGTAAAGGTAATGAACTGTTTCTAATGAAATTATCACCATTTCGTTACAAATCTTTGAAATTTGCATTTAATCAATAATTGTAAATTTGGACTAAATGACTTGAAAATTTAAACTAGAGTTAATAAATGTACATTCCAAGTTAAGTTTAAAAAAATCCAATTTATAACTTATCTATATTTTTCCGTATAATTCTTGAAATTCCATTCTTTTGTGGTATTTTCTTTGACAAATCAAAAGCAATTCCTTATTTTGCATATTTATTCTTTAAGTATATAATCCTTATATTCATTGAAAAGACAAAATTTTGGAGGATATTTTTCATCTTCCTCCAAATATTGTAATGATGTATAAGTTAACTGGAATTATCATGTAAAAATTTCCCACACCAGCTTTGCCAAGTAGCCATTATCATCAAGTCCAACTGGACGCATAGCTGTGACGAAAGACATGAGAAGTCTGGGTGTCAGAGACTAAGTGGAAAGTATATGCTCTCATTGTAATTGAAATTTGCAGCTATTCATTTCAAACCAAGGTACTAAAACATTTTGAAATTTTTCAAATCTTGTAAATGCATGTCAATCACTTTTATCACTAATTAAATTTTCAGGATATTTTTTAAACACTACGCAATGAGAAAAACAACAGGGACCAAAATAGTTAAGCATAGATGTTTATGCACATCAAGGTCCAATACACCAGTAGTCTACTCTATTTTGGGGAAGAATAAAAAATTGAAAAATGCATAAATACTACCTGTCAAACTGCAGACAGAACAGACAGAAATAGATCAGTTATCTGAAGGAAGCACAATGTGAACCTCTGAGTAACAACTTGTTTCAGGTTCTGTTTTAATATTTCCAATCCAAAATTCAAAATGTTTATTAGTACTACTTAATAATGTAATGGATTGGCTGGGACTATACATCATTGATTGAAATTTTTACTTTTATTTAATTTCAACTGGTACAAATAACGAAGTTGAAGTTATTTTTGTTACAAAACATGTCCATGTATTACATATAAGCAGAAAAATTATTTTTGAATGGCTGTATTTTTAATGGTAATATCAAGTCTGCTTCTTTATTTTACACACCATTGCTGTGTTCCACAAATATTCTTACAAACTGATTTTGTCTTAAGTGTACAATTTTACATTGAGAAGTACCAAAATTACGACAAAATTAATCGAAAGATTTTTTGTGGAACAATGCCAAAGTTTTCACTCAAAATTTTGCTTATTTTTTACTACTCAGTCATCTGATTGGTCAATGACTAATATCCAATCAGGTTACTGTATTTCTTATATTCTTATCTTGGTTAAAATTTCAAGAATAACGCCACTGAAAGGTGTGATGAAAAATCCAGAGTACAACCAATTTTATGTTCTACTTTTTGAAAATTGCAAAATTTTGTAAAATAAAGAAATAGGCTTGATACTATTTTGAAATAGCTGTATATTGAATGCAATTTACATTTTGTCTACTAGTTAAATATTAATGTTGTCTGTGATAGATAATACTACTGTTAATAATAAATATTATTTTATAAATAATTCACACTATTCTTTATTTTATACTCATGAATGTTTATCCACTACCCACTGTATATACTATTAAAGGGACAGGTGCACGTTAGTCTCAGAAACGGGAATTTGTTAGCTAAGCCAATCAGTAATATTGATCATACGGCTCACTGTCGAAATTTGAGCCTTCAAATCCATGTATGTCCAGAATTATCAGCCTTTGAAAGTTAAAAAGACGAATCATCTTTTCTTAAAACACTGCCATCTATAGAAATAGAGAAATTCCTACTTATAGATACTTTTGAAGGAATAATGCAATTTTTGTACATTTCTAGTACTTCTGAAGACTATCTACTATTCAAGACTCAAATCAACTCCCAAAATGCCACATCCACCCCTATCCTCCTTGGCAGGATTTGCAGACTATAGAAAAAAAGTTGAAATCTCCAGTTATATGTGCCACTGTACATGTAAATGTCCAAAATGTAAAGAATGGTTGTATTTCAAGTCGGGATAGTCCAGAAGTAGGCTATCTTTATTTATATGTAAACTGTTGTGGTCTATAAATTGAAAACTTATATAGAGTTTTCTCCCTTTACAAGAGTCGTAAAAGCATACACTTCTATCGTGGAAGGTCCACTATTAAATATCTTGTGCGGTAAGTCGCACCGGCGTTCCATATGTGCGATATCTATGATCAGTGAAGGGCACATATATATTGTGGGCTACCAGTGGCGGAGCCAGGTTTACGCCCCAAGAGAGTGGGGCGTTCGATATACCTGAGATTGCCCGAATTTCTAACCTAGTTATGAGATTTTTGCCCGAATAACTTGCTTTCGAGGGTGGGAGGGGGGCGGCAGTCCCCTCTGGCTCAGCCACTGGTTGTGTGGGATATTAACAGAATATTTTAACAATTTTTATTGCAAAGGATACAATATATAGGCTACGGTATATAATTCAGGCCATGCCCCCGCCCACCATTTCCGTAGAAACGCTATATGTTGCTAATAAGGCCTAAAAATACACACGCAAGCCTTGAAATTGTATGTTAAAAAGCTTTTTAATGGCCTAGTGTTAAGGACATACATAAAGTAACTGTTAATTGCGAATGGATGAGGTGCGGAGTCCGGCGAAGTGTGCGATGCAGTATCAGTATTATCGATTCTCTAAAAAAAAATATATATGAATATAAATATTAGACTATATTCAAGGTCTATTGAGACAAGTCTGAAATTTAGGAATTTAGAAATCCCCTTCCACCCTTATCTGAAACCATGAAGGACGATATTTCCCTGGAATTTTAGATATTGGCCGGCCTACTGCCTCTGCCGTTTGGCTAAATAAAAATATGGGTTGCAGGCCATTATTTGCAGGTTATTACTTGCAGGCCATTATTTGCAGGTCATTATTTGAAGGTCATTATTTGCAGGCCATTATTTTTGCAGGCCATTATTTTTGCAGGTCATTAATTGCAGGTCATTATTTTTGCAGGCCATTATTTGCATTAACGGCGCTTATCCTGCAGCAATGAACAATC